ATTCAGCAGGCCGAGAATACGTMRGACYGTCMAGGTGGCTTGACAGTTTGAATTTGTACCAATTTTTACAGCAAATAGCCAAATTATGTGATGTTTTGTCCACAGGAACAATCGCAAAGGATTCTTGAAGCTGACGCAGGGCCGTATGCGCGTGCCGCAAAGAGCGAGGCTGTCGCGATGGTGATGGGGTAGTCATGTTGCACTCACAGTGACGCAAGACTGCAGCACGCCAATTAGCCAATTGTGGGGCTAGGGTAGCAGCACAGGATTGTCGTGCTGTTGGACGAAGATACGCAGCAATATACTCATCAATACCAACAGCCAATGCTTCAAGTATATCTCCCACTACCCCATTCAGCCGATATTTTGAGCCCTCATAGAACAGATAATATCGCCAAACAGACAGGTAGAATGTGGATATATATACACACATTATAATATGCATATATATATTGTCACACTGTGAATCAGAGCACGAAGGCGAAAAAAAGCAAAACAAGGAAAGGAAAAGAAGGAAGGAAAGCCCCACCTGTTCATCACCTCTTACGTACAAGGCCAGCCACGTGGATGACAGGTTGAACGCTGGCTGCCCCCATCCCCGTGTGTCACAAGGACCCACTTGCACGCAGCCAAAAGGCAAAGAGGTAAAGAAAAGGAGGAGGAAACCAGACCTCACAGAGGCAAAAGAAAGAGAAAGGTCAAAGAAAAAACAAAGGAAGAAACCAAATGACACATCCCACAGATAAACCAATTGCCACTGTCACTACAAAATTCAACATATTTTTTTCTTGTTTTCTTTTTTCTTGTTTTCTTTTTTCTTGTTTTCTTTTTTCTTTTCTCCAGAAATTTGTACTTCTTTTCTTTTCTTTTCTTTCTTTCTTTTATCTGTCCTACAATTAATGTTGCTCCTGATCGCTTGATTCTATTGACCAGTCAGGAAGAGGAGCCCCCATTCCCCGCAGATAGGACAGGCACACTGAGGATGAGGTGGATGTTCACAAGGATACCCAAGGAGAGCTACTTCAGCACAGCATTCAGCAGGTCGGCTAGCACGGACCAATGCATCAAAACAGTCCTGACAAAGGACATGCTGTCCACATGTCAAAAAAACAGCAGGACGTTCATCACAGAGCGGCATCATGCAGTCCTGATAGCGTCCTTGAGCACAAAAGGGACAACGAATATCTGGGTGATAGGGATGTGTACAATGAGGAAATGTTGGACACCCATGACACAGACGGCGGCGGCTGCAATAGATTGATAATGTTGATGACATAGGTGATGAGTTCCACAGCCAAGACGCACCGCGTCCCTGTCCCAACAGGTGTCACACGAGAGTCGATCAATAATCCAGAATAAAGTATGATTCGGTAATGCACACAGAAATTCAATTATGTTCAAAATAGCCTGAGTCATTGTCCCACCATCCCACTGTTCCCACTGGGCAGCTGCACTAATGAGTGCCATATAACGCCCGGGTCGGTGCAAAATACAGGCAGAAATATGAGGACGGTCATTAAGGTCATCGCCTGGCGTCACATATACCGTCAAACAGTATATTGCCTCAAGTAGAAGCGATTCTATTGTATTTTTTGGGTTTTCCTGAGATTCTACTTTACAGTCCCAAATAACTGCCCGTCGTATCGCTGGCAGACAGGGAGAAAACGACAAAAATAAGGGCGGGCAGGGCGGGCAGGGGAGTGCGACGGACTGTTTCGTCGAACTTTCACCGACATCAGGTGTATTGCCAAAGAGCTGATCTAAGAAATAAGAGCGCACTACGAAGACATTTGCCACAAACAAAGGAAGAATTGGGGGGGTTAGGGGAAAAGGGAGGGAAAAGCGGAGGGGGAAAAACCGATGCAATTTGTGCAATAGGTAGATCCTAAAGGTATTATATAAACTGATATAAATATTTACAGCACTTTCACAAATAAAACTCAACTTAGCATAAATCTGAATATATATCTAATTGGATTATCTGTGGGATGTGTCACTTGCTTCGTCTGTTTAATAGGCTTTCTTCTTCTGTGAGGTTTGGTTTCCTCCGCCTTTTCTTTACCTCTTTGCCTTTTGGCTGGTGCAAGTGGGTCTTTGTGACACACGGGGATGGGGGCATCCAGCGCTCAACCTGTCATCCACGTGGCTGGCCTTGTACGTAAGAGGTGACGAACAGGTGGGGCTTTCCTTCCTTACTTCTTTTTCTTTTTCTTGTTCTGTCTTTTTCCGCCTTTGCGCTCTGATTTCCGGTGTGACAATATATCTAATCATTTAATTACTTACTTTACGCTGAAACATTTTAACAGCTGATCTAAGACATAATCATAAGAATATTCAAAATCATAAACACATCCGTAATTCACCAATGCGACGGTGAGGATGTAAAGATTGCCATGCCAGAAGTGCTTTATAATATTTTTTTAAAAAGTGCTTTATAATATTTTAAAAAAGAAAGGGAAGAAAGCAATGACCGAAGAAAAACAATAATAAATATGGAGTCAATAACCTACGATGATGAGGACAGTTGTGATGAGGAGGAGGACGGTTATCATTGCAACCTGATGATGACGATGGCTGACGAAAGATAAGATCATGGGACAAATATAATATGATATGATATGAAGAAGATGATGATGATTATAAAGATAACGATGACGATGATGATGATGATGATAAAGATAACGATGACGACAACAACGCTAATGACGATAATGATAACGATGACGAAGTTTATCAGGATGATGATGATGATGATGAAGGCAATCAGGATGATGCCGAAGGCAACGGTGACGATCATGACGATGACGATGACGAGGAGGAGGAGGAGGAGGAGGAGGAGCCAACAATGACATCATCACATTGACGACAAACGTTACGATCATCGTCACAGCGGTGATCGTCATGATGACAGACGACGACGACGACGTGTATGAAGATGATAACGATTATCCTCCAATGAATGACGATAATTCTCCTCATCCTCAGGACATTGATGACATCCAATGGAATCATAATCACAGTAACGGTCATCGTGATGGCGACAGTCATAATGATAATTCCGGCGATCAGCGAGCTGATGATTTCACCGTTGATGATAACCATCATCATCATCATCATCATCATCATGCGTACGTATTACTCCGCTCGAGCGAGGGATTACAGGATCGGCCTACCTCACCCATCACACACGTTCATAGATGAAATTAACGGGTTAAAAATTTTCGAACATTAGTTTCTTGAGAGGTCTCTAGTTTGTGGAAGGAATTTCGTGCATTGCACTCGCTAAATATGAAACTAGACTATAAATACGAAATAAACCAACCTCCCCCCCCCAAAATAAATAAATAAATAAATAAATGCGGCAGTTGCGACTTATCAGTCGAGTCCTTCAGGGATGACACGCATAAATCGATTAACGGTCCAATTTTATTTTATTTTATTTTTTCAAATGTCAGCTCACGGCAGTATAATTTACAAGTGGCGCAAACGTAGTGCAGTATTTTATATTTTTCAATAGTGCAGGATTTTACATTCAGCCTGCGACTAACACTACGAGAATTTAAACGGCTACTCTCAGCGTATCGCAGGCAGACAGGGGGATTAAACGCTACTCTCATTCTGCGACTAACATTATGAGAATTTAAACACTATCGCTCCGAGTTCTTTTTTTTTTTCCGATAGATTATTTTCTTTTTTCTTTCCTTTATTTCCCACTTGACGGACAAAAAAGGGGGCATAAACACGAAAAGAAAAACGTCTCGCTTGGCCAGAAACTTCGCAAAATATTACCTTTTTCCCCGCCACAATGCCTAAACACCCCCTCTCTCTCTCTCTCTCTCTCTCTCTCTCTCTCTCTCTCTCTCTCTACAGGTCACGGTATGTCTGATTTTGAAAGTACAGTCACGCGCGTACACACGTGTAACTGACTAGACCAAAGTGCCACGTACCGGGGTAATAGGTGGGGATCCGCGACGCACGGATTAGCCCAATGAGGAGTTAGAGCGGAGAAACGCGTAGGCCAATGGGAGCTCGTCTATTAGTGAAAGGAGGATTGAAGGAGAGACTTGATCGTTGGGAAGAGACGTTAGTCACGACACGGTACCCCGACACGTGAACATACGGGGAAAGCGGGCCTGCTGGCCCAGACGTGGCGCCGACTTTTCAGAACCGGACACTATAGCGCTCGTCGCTACGTCTAGGTGGCAGTCCAGCTGTAGCCGTAGTAGCTCGTGGAAGTGCCCGTCAGGGGCGGAAGTGCCGTGCTGACGAAGCGTCTTGCTTGGCATTCAGTATATAGGAGGGCAAGGCCAGATCGGCTCTCAGAACTCAGACGGATGGTTTGTTCGGTGGGCCGCAAGGCGAGGGTGTGTGGTTAGCCCCCTGAGGATGATCGGAGCGCAACCGACCGAAACGCGTCGGGGAATGTGCGCGTTTGCTGAGATGAGTATGCGGTGTTATGTATTGATGATCATTTGAAGCGTGTGCTAAAGGCAGTTGGCCGCTGTTTCCACTATTTTAACCAATCCTCGACACGGCGAAGACACGACAACATACAAAGAAAAACCGAGAGAGAAAAAAAAAAAAAAAAAAAAAAACAGTACCAGGAAGTTTTTCTCTTCTTTGCGCAGGTAAAAACAAAAAAAGGAAGAAGCAGAAGAAGTATTGGAGGCCTAAACACACACACACACACACACACACACACACACACACACACACACACACGGAATCCTTTCCCGCTTCCAAACACACGCACATACATGCACACACACTTTGATATTCTTTTTCCTAATTATGATTACAACATCATTCCTAATTATGATTATAACATCAATGATAATAATAATATAATATAACAATAATAATAATAATAATAATAATAATAACAATGAGAAGAAGAAGAAGAAGAAGAAGAAAGAAGAAGAAAGAAAAACATAGTGAACACAGTGACCAAAAGTAAGAAACAAGGAGCATAAGAAGAAACCAAAAAAACAGAAACTTACACTTTTACTTGTCCGCCTGGTGTGCCTCTCTTGTTGATATCCAGTCCGAAAAGACTCCTCTTCAACATATAGGTCATGGCGACGGGTATGAGTCGGAGGGTGAGGACAAGGCCGCCCACACTAAGCAAAAGACTGATCAAGATCGAATGGCGAGCAGAGGCACTCGGAGGAAAGACAGCGAAAGTCAAAACAGCCGGAAATATGGACACCATTGTGAAAAACCCCGCACGCAAACTCCTACTCCCCCCCACACCATCTTCTCCTCCTGCCTTAACTCCTACTTCCGTCTCGCTGTCCCGTTTCTTGTCCCCTACTTCTCTTTTCCGACTTCTCAAACCCTCCGCC